TTTTGAACGTTTTATTATCTTTATTTAACATGTTACATGTAAACTGATTCTGTGATTTATATACATTCATTTCATTTCATTGGTTTCAATGGATTTTCACTTTTCTAAATTTAAAATAAATGAGATGTATATTTGAGTGATAAAATATGTTTCAATATCCGTTGTCAATATTTTGTTTCCATACTATGAACTTATTTTAAAAAGCTGTATCAATTAATATCGACTGTCATAGTCGATTTCCAAAAGGATAGAATTGCCAAATAGTTTCATAGAGATTTAGAAAAGATTTAGTATTTAATTTGATCTAATTTGACAACACTTGTCACAGGGGTGAAACTCTTTTTCTTCGGGTAAAATCAACAATATAATTATTATTTGTGAATTGATTTAACATTATGATTACCGGGAATTGTAGAATCATTTATAATCAAGGTCATAAACAATTAAACATAACGAGCAACCGTTAGACCTCGCATTCAGCACGGAAACAATTAAGAATATCTTTCATCTCTTAGTAATTAGGATCCAGTATATTCAGTTTATAAGACCAGATGTGTTTATCAGCACAACTACAAATAGAATAAAATAGAGAAAAACAGAATCCCTAAAGACAGTCCAACACGGCAAAATTGTAAAATGTTGCAGGCTCGGTTTGACTGGAAAGTGCAAGTTACCGTCCACGCCCCCTAGCACCGGCTTAAGCAGAATTCAACGTTTAAACACAAAAATGGTGGAGTTTTGAATTTAGTAACATCCGCAGATGTGTTCATACGGCGGTTATCATGGAACCTTCAATGTGACACAGTAGAGTTATTCCATGAAAAGCGGCGTACGGTCCCAAAGTAAAAGAATGCGTGTCGCTTTTCGTGCGGAAACAATAAGAATATGAAAAACAAGAGAGTGGTGATCAATGAATGTACCTAACACACGACCAAGCAACACAAGACGACCGGAAGGGAGCCCAGCAGCACACAATAAGGAGAAGCTTTTCAACTCATTCGTTTTTCTTGAATATCAAACTATTGACAGGCCTCTTACGGATAGAAAATATTATTATATTAGTATAGGATAGATCACGAGTACCAGTTGGATGTGAGATTTATCAACGAGTGAAACAAGCGAAGCGAGTTGATAAATCTCACATCCAACTGGTACGAGCGATCTATCTGACTTAGACCACGTTTAATGTGAAGATTTAATATGCGTAAACGATTTTTTCTCCGACAATGACATAGGGACATCAAAATATTTCTTACTCAATCTATTTGGCCTTATGTAGGTAAAAAAGCACGAGAAAATGGCATAATTCATGTTCTTTCATAAGTTACTGTATACACAATCTTATGAATTATAGATTTCACATTCCATCACAAAGGTGCAGTAAGAAGAAATTTGAGAAGAATTTAACATTTCTGAATGTGATATTATTACAATTTTGCAAGTTGAGAGATTTTGTTGTTATTCCTGTTGATTCTTCATTTAAATGATTAAATGACACAACAACGTACACAGCGCTTAAATATGAAGTCAAGAAGCAAAACTGCTTACCGAAAAATACTCTAAGACAGAAATCATGAGAGATGGCCGCTTTTCTCAAGAGTGGGCTCTTGGAGAAACGGGCAGGTAACTTTCATTTAACGTTTTCCTTAATGCTTAAACAACCCTAGGGCTTAGGATATTGATTGGTTGTCCGGCTGAAGTTGAAAATTTTTTACTTGACATATAGATTCGTGTTTTTGTTGTATGCTTTATATACATCCTGCATTGTTTTTTTTACCTCATTCATGAATTAAAACAATATTTCAAACGTCCCTCTGAAGCCTTAAAGCATACCATTGCCTTAGCGTTGCAAACGCAGTCCAGTCACCGTTCGAATACTCCACCCCCTGCCCACCAGTGGAATCCCCTCATCCCAAACCGAAAATGAATGTACATCGACAGTGTCTGCTATTAAGAGTGAACCGGGCATAATGCACAAGGCACAGTGCCTAAAATATTAGCACAAAAGCGGCCGTAAAATGTAGATACATATATAGATTTAAATAGATTGATAAACGCATTTCATTTCATTATTGCTTGTTTTTTCTTATTTACAAATACAGTAACTATACTTGTAAAATGACGAAATAAATTGGTCAAAGGACTATTGCTATCTGTTAATTTTTAAGAAGGGAATTACAATATAAATTTTACTATATACATATAAATTTTTCCCGCATAAAGCGAGCACATAACGGGGTTTTTCTTTCAGTTGAAAACAAACATGATAGTTATATCAAACACTATACTGTGATGTGTGGGATATATCAAACACTTTAAAACTACTCTGATTGGCCGAGAGAAAACAATTGTGGTCTAATAAATTGATTGTCAGTCATTACAGCAGCATGCCTCCGGATTCATGCTTATTTTCATGAAATTCTGAAAATGTTTTTTAAATTTATAATATAGTGAAATGAACAAAGAAAGTAGTTTACACAATGCAAACGGCACTAACAATCGTAAATGTAAACGTAAATTACCAAAAAGAGGTCAAAATATACATAATTACTTCTTACTGCGTTAGTAACGCAGTAGAATTAAAGTGATTGGAACGGCAAAATCAGTCATTAATCGCATATAACATGTAAATAATTAATTAAATATTGAATCTTTTAACTCTTCTTAAGATCTTAATACATTTTTTAAAGATTGAATTTCTGGAAATATTTTGGCTCATCTGGAGGCGTGCAGCTTTATTGTCTCTATTGAACTTCGTATATTTTCCTTTACTAGTAATTTACATTGTTGGCACGCCACGCTCATGTTTTTCCTTGTTCCATATTTTGTTGTCTTGCTGCTTGGTTTCTGTGTGTGTGCTTTATATATTGTTTTTAAATTCTATAAACATCACGATTATCCAATGAAAAGTGACGTAATATAAATATTCATAAAATAGCCAAATATGATGTTCTAATACTCCTACGTACATATAATATAAACATTTGGCAAGACACAATAGAATACAATAGAAGAATACATTTGGTTTGCTCTATTTGCACGTCGGAAGAGTGATGAAACTGGATTTGCTCTGTTTAACGAAATTCATGAATTAGATGGACATAACTGTGTTTGACGAAAAAGCATATGATCCCTGCAAGAAAAAAAATGGCGAGTGAATAGTAGGCGCAATTGCAGAGCAAACAAAAAACATTCGGGTAATGATTTTTTTTGTAGCCCGAACGTTAAAGAAATGAAAATGTATATTATATTTTCATGTCTTTATTATCTTTTCACCACAAAGAATAAATTCATCATAGCAGTGTACAGACATTTTTATCATTAGAATTCAGGCACTTTTTTGTCGGGTTTTAACGGCACAGCAACACTTAAAAATCATAGCAGTAGAAGACCACATGTTCTCTGTGTATTTTTTTCGGCACAAACAGGCAGTAGAATCACCGACATTCAGTAAGTTAGCTTCCTTGCATGAAAGATCGCAAGCCCCTCGGCAACTGTCGCACCTTGAAAATATCTTTGCACTTACACGTGATAAAAGAAAGCAAGAAAAATAAATAAAAAAGCAAAAAAAAAAAAGCAACATGAATAAGACCAGTATCCACATAATTGGACAATAAGGCTAGACAGGTTCGTTTACATTTTCCGCTAAGAAGTTAGTCACCGGCCTGTTGCATTTTAAGGTTATATTTTATTATGATAGATAATAGTTTTGTTCAGAGATTAATATTTGCATTAATGCCTACTACCCTTATAAAATGATAAACAGTGGTAGATTTTATACCTCAGTTGCATATATAACAGCTTAGAGCGTCTGCATGGCAAGTAAAACAACTGAATATTGAAACATTATGTATAAAATTATGATAAAAACGCATTTTCGAAATAGATCTAATTGATTATGTAAATCAAAATGACACTTAATGTGGTATAATCTTAGTGCGTAATTTAAAATGGAAAATGGGTGTTAAGGGACTTTTCAAATGTGCAATAAATGTACATACTATTTATTCAATATAAGCATAAATGTCCAGGGGAGATTCGTAGTGGCATAATTTCAATTTGTTATACAAATACATTTATAGTCAAGCGTATGACCTTTCAAACTTCTAATTAATAAGCCAATTAGTTCTTGATCGTATTTTAAGTAAATACTGTAGTTCTTATTTCGCTCTAATAGGAGCTATATAATATTATAGGTCGTAGCCATAATTAATGATCTATTACGTTCAATTTTTTTCTTATATTTTACTCTTTCAATATCTGTCAAATTTATTATTAATTATATATCAATATGTTAAAAGTGGACTAAAGAATTAAAACTACTTTATTCGGTCAATTTGAAAAAAAATTGTTAATGCCTACGTAGTATGTATTTGATACAGATGTTAACTTGACAATATTTTCATTGACTACACCATTAATTTTTAGTTTCAGCTTTGTTTCTAGTGATGAAAAATTGCAAGGGTTGTCGGGTATTGTTTCAAACGGCCCTAATATGAGTACCAAAAGATGTTCATGTTTAATTCAGTGTTAAGTACAACGGGGAGTTAGATACAAATAAAGAAACATTTTTATATCTTATATAAATATATAGAATATAAGAATTTTACGTCCACCCCGTAAATCGACAGCGAATTTTATTGCATTGTAAAAATTACAAATATTTTACTAACTTTTATGCTGAATCCCGGCTCGTAAAATGTAATGGAATTACTCGAATTACTCACGAACATAAACCTCAGAGCAATTTGTAGCCAATAGGCCCAATACCAATCCATTATTATAAATTATTTGTATCTCGCGCCATTTTATGAGACATGATCTTTTCTCGCGTTGCGGCCGTAGCTCGGGCACTCATATTTACATATTTTCTATAAGCTAGTTAATTCTATGATGAGGAATAGCTGACATTCTGCCAGACGAAACTTTTTATATAGTGTGCATATCGGAAAATATACAGCACTGCAGTGTATCGCGATAGTTTCCGTAGAAAATCTTCTGTGAACTTCGATATTGAATGGATAGATAGTTACAATGCATATACATGTATGAATACTTTAAACTCACTACATCACTATAACGGATATCCGATGTGAAAACTATACTATTGGTATAACTATAATAATTATCTGAATTTATGGATTTTACGGCTACCGTACATACTTTACGGCGGTAAACACAAACTACTGTGAGAGACGAGAACAGGTTGTGGTATTCGTGAGAGATGGATTTTATGAATGGAATATGAAAATATGTGTGGTTTGTAAGTCTGGTGTCTGCGAGAATGATATAATCTAGTAGTCAGTAACTGCTGGTATTACACCTGTATGTGTACACGATATAACATTAAAACAACAACACTTCTCATCAATTCACACCATACAACTCGTTCCTGAAATGACGGTTATCGTTCAATATTGCATCTTGTGACATAGAATGTCGTAATTGGAAAATATCTAGGACATAAAGTTAGAATTTTTAAGAAGAAAGACTTGTATTGATTGATCGTAGGCAATGGAGTATGTTTAAACGCTACACAACAACATGTTTACTAGTTATAACATCTGGCGAGATGTAACGTGGATATATAGGTGCCGTACCTGATTACTATTATACAGGTAGGCAAACATTTGTTTAATGTGTTTTATATGATATATGCTGCTGATAAATTCCAGAGGTTCATTAGGCAATTGGCGAGTCAGTAAACTTGATACATAAAAGATCTGATGACTCATTATCTGCTTTTTGTTTGAAGGAATTTTATAACGATTATAATCATTATGGTCGATTGTAATCATAATGGTGGAATAGATGATTATTGTATAAAAACGAAAAAAGAAACATCTTGTACAGATACACGCTTCTGTTCGGATGATTTATGCGTTATGTAGCACCATCTGTTTAAACTAGTACTTGAATTTATACATATATTTGCGATGGTTTAATACACATAATTTTGGTAAATATCACTAACAAAAAAACAAAAACAAAAAAAACTGAATCAGTCTACGTTTTTTCTTAATATTCTCATTTGTTCGTATATATTTGTTTTGTTTTGAAACACACAATTTTGGTGTATATCACTTACAAAAAAATGAATGTGTCTAAGTTTTCTATTCTTGACTTTTCATTATTTCTTTCATAAAGTTTGTTGAAATTGTTTTCATTTTTCTGAGGTAAAGAACGATAAATACTGTTACAGATGTACGCACATATTGATGCTTTTACGTTTCTTTGTGTTGCTTTTTTGTAGCTTGAATACCTTCTTTACACGTTGTGAGAGTGAAATAATGTGTAGTGTTTTGATATATTGTTGCTTCTGTTCATATATACATTAACCGTTACCGTTGGCCTAGTGGTTAATGCGTCCGCCTTCGGATCGGGAGGTCGAAAGTTCGAGCCCCACGGGGAGCGTTAATTGAAGGATGAATGTTTCTCGGGGACTCGTTCCGAAATGGCCGCTTCGTGAGACGCGAGGTAGTTAAAATGAATTACCGATTTCTATCCGCCTGGCGCCTGGTACATGGTATGCAAGCAAAAGGTGTCTCATATTAAGTCAAAATGGCTGGCCCTTTCAGTAGGGGTGACACTATAATAAACAAGACCTTTACCATACCTTTTACATTTCCATCATTATTATATTTATCATGAACATGCTTAGTCATGCTATTTTTAAATCTTAGCGCAAAAATATATACAACAATTTCACAGATATAGTATATATTTAAAATCTTCTTTTAAATATTGACCGTACATTAAATAAGTTCCTAAATTTCCAAAACGCTGTATTAATTTAATATGTAATTACTTGTTTTCATAAACATAACCGCTACAATGATTTGTGGGTCTTTCAAATTACAGACAAAAACCAAGTATGTAATATATGAGAAAAAGTGAGGGGCAGACTTGATAATTACATATTTCTCGGGGAAAATCATTGTGGTTTATGCTCCCACGTGAAGTTGTAAGGAATAAATATATCTTCCGGCACTGAATCCATAAATATTGGCACTAAAACTGAATTACGTTGTCTTGCTGCGCCGAGAAAGTAGCAACTTTTATAAATAATAAATATGTGATTTCTTTAAAACGATATTTTCATCCTCATAAATATCAATATTTTGTGAATAACGCAGAAACTGCAATGCCAGTATATCAACTTTTTTTCCTATGCGTGATACATTTTTTTTTGGTTTATTTATAATGCATTTTCTATCACAGAGACAAAAAACATCTTACAAAGCTAGAAGAACAGAAGACGAGCGTCTAGCAAAAATTTCAGAACAATAGCTGTCACTGTGACATTTGTATTTAAATGCTTATTTCCAGAGATTCCTTAAATGTTAACAATCGATCGAATAATTTGTAAAAGGTTAAAGTGTTATTTCCGTTCTTATTATCAAAGCAACCAAGTGATTGACAGCACATTATTATGTAACATATATAAGATAAACATTGCATCGGCTTTTGTCAAAGTTCGCGAAATATTAATTTCAAATGGCGTTAGAAACGATAGTTTCACGTAATCAATAACGTTTGTTTGTACATATAACATACATTGTATATATATGCCATTTTATTTTCAGGTAGTCCCTTTTTATAAATTTGATACATTTATTGGATTGTTTGTTTGTATTTTTTGACGTGATGGAACGGGAAATATTTGTCGATATTAATATACAATTTGATGTATGCCTGCTCGACAAGCAACTTGTGTGCAAAATTTCAGATCATTTCCTCATTTTGTGCTTCCAGAAACATTATCTAAAACGGGCAAAATTACCCCAAAAAGAAAAGCGTTACAAAGCTTTTGCACTCAAATCGGGCTGACGTTAACACAGAAATATGAAATATGACTTTTAATTTATTCACGGGTATATTTCTTTATTATTCTATATTATTTGTTGATTTTTTTTCTGTTTTGAGTGCCTCAGTAGATCTATGTAAGAATTCAGAATTTATGTCATTAGGCTTTTTGACCTCAGTGGAGATCCTTTAAATGATTTTAGGCTAAACGCCGCAAAGAAAATATTTTGATTCACTGTGTATCTGATAATTCCTTCTTTAATAATGATAATTTGATATCAAACTTACAAAAGTATTTTGTAATTTGTACGTATATCTTGATAACACATGAACCTGATTTTCAAATCAAATTTCATTCATGCACACATCAAATAAATGTTTGCCAACAAGGGTGAAATGTTTCCAAATTAAACACACATAAACTCTGTGGATAATGAATAAAATATCAAAGGAATAATCATTATAGAAATTCTATTTTAATCTAAAAGATACCGTTCTTATTATGTATTTATGATAAATAGAATAATTTAAACTATATTCATGTACATTTATTGAATAGATCTCGCTGAATAAAACAATGCTGAGCTCTTTAAATATGATTTTTATTCAACACGTTCAAAAAAAATAATATTACATCTACACACACTCATTCTATATCCTCTATTTTAATACAATGCATATTGACATATATACATTGTACTCTATATAGGAAAAAAATCTCAAATATACGTAGCATACAACACGCTACTAAATACAACGCACACAGAATCTCCAATGAATAATTGAGATTAATTAGATAATTATTGTATTTTTGTATTGCTAGTATCTTCTCAGGTAATACAACGCGTATCAGCATAATGAACTGTAATCTGTAATGAATAAACTATGAACTAAATTATAATTTTAATTTAGTAGGTACGCAACTGTAGCTTAAAACGAAAACACTTATACCGTCTTACTTATGAATAAAAAAATCAATTAGATAATAATTGTATTTAAGAGATTCTGATAAAAGAATAAATAAGGCACAATCGTTATCATTTATTTCTGGGAAAAGTTGATAGCATTGATCAAGAACAGTGTGACTGAGCATTCCCATGAGAGTCAATATGTGATACGTGATATAGCCCATGGGAAATTACCCGGGCAAAATGTTTATCGAATTATATTGGTTAGGAATTGTGAAAATATGTTCTGAATATATGATGCGTACTCACCTGAACTTTTCTTATATGGAAAAGGAGGATAAGCATCCCCCTTCCCCATAGCGCCCAAAAAAAAAAACGCGAAATTTAAAAAACAATCACAACAAAACCACAACATTAACAACATCATCGATACGTCAACAAAAAAAAACAACAACAAACGACCACATACACAAACGTCAATATCATAATGTGCTTATTAAGAATAAAAACAGAAATTTGCAGTTTTACATTATTTACGTAAAATCACCAGATTTTTTGGCACATTAGCATTAGCATACGTTTAGATAATATAGATTTAAACAGTTGTCTCTATAATGGTAAAGGTGTTGCTCCTAAATATATGTTGGATTCCATTTGATTGTGTGGAAACTGCAATGTTAGGTTAGCAAAACCATTGCCAGTCAACATTCTTTATGCTTATCCTTTTTCTAAGGTTCGAGTGGAAGGAAACTACAAAGTTAGGTATGCTCAAATGTTTTACCGTCATTCTTTTGATCAACACGAGACATGTAGGAAATCCTTTATCGAAGCCACGAGGTGATAAAAAAACAGTTACATATTTGACCGCGAAATCATTTTTTTTTTCAAAATGTCATCTTATACCTTCCGTAGTTATAGCTTTTGTGTCACTTGTAATTTGCTAATTTGTAGATTAAAGTTCATTTTGTATTCTGCCAATGAGAAATGGCATCGATATTATCAACACAAATCACAGCTTTGTTCATTATACTCAGCATGAAACTCTGTGTAAGGAAATAGAAACGAACGCAGACTGATTGATTACAGCGGTTCAAATTTGAGCCGCGTCACGACAAAACTAACATGATGGGTTTGCGACCAGCATGGATCCAGACCAGCCTGCGCATCCGCGCAATCTGATCAGGATCCATGCTGTTCGCTATCAGTTTCTCTACTTGTTAAATAGGGTAAGCGAACATCAGACTGCGCGGATGCGCAGGCTGGTCTTGATCCATGCTGGCCGCAAACCCATTTTGTTGGTTTTGTCGTGACACGGCTCAAATTTATAATTTAAAGTGGCCTTCAGTTTTTATCCCCCGCCGATGGAATCGGGAGGGGGATATAGTTTTGACGTTGTCCGTCCGTCCGTCCGTCTGTCCGTCCGTCCGTCCATCCGTCCGTCCGAATTTCGTTTCCGGAGTAGTTCTCTGCAACTAATGGCTGGAATTCAACGAAACTTTATGGGAATGTTGATCAGCATGTGAAGTTGTGCATCTGGGTATTTTCGTCTGGATATTTTTAGTATTTTTAGAGTTATTGCCCTTGACTTAGTAAAATTTTGTAATTTTCAACTTGTGTCGCATGTAACTCAAAAAGTATTTGACCTAGAGTCATGAAACTTTACAGGAATGTTGATCAGTATGTGTAGTTGTGCACCTGGGTATTTTCGTCTGGATATTTTAGTATTTTTAGAGTTATTGCCCTTGACTCAGTAAAATTGTGTCCGAATTTCGTTTCCGGAGTAGTTCTCTGCAACTAATGGCTGGAATTCAACGAAACTTTATGGGAATGTTGATCAGCATGTGAAGTTGTGCATCTGGGTATTTTCGTCTGGATATTTTTAGTATTTTTAGAGTTATTGCCCTTGACTTAGTAAAATTTTGTAATTTTCAACTTGTGTCGCATGTAACTCAAAAAGTATTTGACCTAGAGTCATGAAACTTTACAGGAATGTTGATCAGTATGTGTAGTTGTGCACCTGGGTATTTTCGTCTGGATATTTTAGTATTTTTAGAGTTATTGCCCTTGACTTAGTAAAATTTTGTAATTTTCAACTTGTGTCGCATGTAACTCAAATTAATTTTCAATCACAATCATCAGTCACACGGGGCCAGAAAAGGAGTTTCAAAAATGCAAAATTAAAAAATCTTGTCTGACAGTACAAGGCCTAGAGCTTTGATATTTGGTATATGATATAACATATAGGTCCTCTGCCAAAATTGTTCAAATTTTAGCCCTGGGGTCAAAATTGGCCCCACTCCAGGGGGTCATAGATTTTCCTTATATGTATACAGTGAAAACTTAAAAATTCTTCTTGTTTGAAGGTACAAGGCTTCAAGTTCAAAGAATTTTACAGTTTATGCCATGATTAATATATAAATAAAGCCTTATGTCTTCAGTTGTTGTGTTAATAATAACCAGTACTCGGCGGGGGATATAAATTCAACGAATTTGCTTGTTTTTACTTTCTGTTGAAAAACAATTTTGTGTTGTTTCAATTTAAGAATTTCAGTAATTTTATCTAGTATATAAATGTTAAGCTTCTTTAAAATTGTGTCCCGGTAATTATTTATGACGAGTAAGTGACGTTCGTTTCTAAAAATAGATGATCGGAGTAACGAACGATTCGTTCTATTTAATGTTCTACTAATTTTGATATAAAGAGCAGGCCGGGCCTATCGAGACGTTTCATTGTGTTTATGTATATTATCGTCAGGAAATTTCATTTTTCACCTTAATTCTTTTGATTTGACAATTATATGGACCGGTTTATCTAAAAATAACATACATTGTATTTCATCGTTTGTAATGCTGAAGGCCGCTTTAACTAAAAGACAAACTTAAGGTAGAAACAGCTTCATTTGTTGACGTTTAATCAAAAGCTGGGTAAAGTGGAACGCTAATTAGACACGGCAATCCATTTAGCTTGTCTCTGAAATGTAGATTTCGTATCTTATACAAGCATTTAACATGAAATTAACAACTTTATGTTTTCAAATTTACTTAAAATTCTTTACTTCTATATAAATAGTTTAATAAAATGAACTTTTAAATAAATATTGTGTTACTAATCATATGCCGAAAACATCACATGGTTGTGTATCAACTCTTTTATTTGATATTCATAAAGTATGAATTTACCATCCTTTTAAGCAAATAAATATTTGTAAATACATTAATTGTTTAGACCGGACTAGTAAAGTACTTAATCATTTTGTCTATGATATACAAAACAACAATTTATATTTCCCTATGGATCTTTTCTTAGTCCGGTTGAACCTTTTATTATGCTTCCTCGTCTACAATTTTGCTGACATCTTATTTTGCTTATATTTGTATCTAAATTCAATTTTGCGTTTCCAATTTCCTTAAAGAACATGACCTGTAGTTAACATTACAACTGTTACCAAAAAATATCAAATTCATGTTTATGTTCAAATTCATTTTCAATGTGCCGCACTCGGTGACATTTAAGTTGCTTCTTACAATTTGCAGCACACGTGCGAAGTACCCCTCTGATACATGTATTCATTTTTACAAGTGCGCGCACACACATCATGCATTCATGCAACCCAATATCAAGTAAAATTCCGCTATTGATTCAGCAAGTGTGTAAGTATAATTGTAACATTATCCTAAAAGGCAAACATTTAAGTTAATCGTATGATATAGATGAACTAGGCGACAGGAAAATAAATATCCCTTAAAAAACCAATCATGATATAAAACATGTATCTGAGTCTGCTATGATTTGTATTGCCTTTTGTTGTTCTTTGATACCGACAATTCAAATCAATCAATCAATCAATCATAGGTATTTTTATAGCGCGACACTTTATACAGTTATATTCTGTTGCGCTTCACAAGATCCTATAATGTCAAAGTCATTTCCACAGTTTAAAACTATATACACATTTGACGAAACTTTTTATCCATAAAATTGTTCAAAGAGGTGTGCTTTCAGTCTTTTTCTGAATGCAATTTCCGATGCAATGCACTTTAATTCTTTTGGTAGGGCGTTCCACCATTTAGGTCCCATAACAGAAATAGATCTGTCAGCAAGTCTGGTCCTGCGTCTTGGCACAACAAACTGTGTACAAGTGTCATCAGCAGCTGATCTTAGACTGTATTTTCTTCTCACACAATTAAACAAAGTTATGAGATACGTTGGAGCTGTTCCATGTATTACTCGGAAAACAATAAGAATAACTTTAAACATAATCCGTGCCTTGACTGGTAACCAATGTAGAGATTTTCTGAGATCAGCACTAGGTTGGTCATACACATTCGTTACTACCCGAGCAGCCTGGTTTTGGAGTCTCTGAAGTCGATCTATTTGATAAACTGGTATTTCTGCAAAAAGTCCATTACAAAAATCGATGTGGGAATTTACTAAACCATGAACTAGTATTTCCGTTGATTTCTGAGACAGATGCTTACGAATGGATTTCAGGTTCTTAAGTTGAGAGTAGGCTATTTGACACTTTTTTCGTATATGCCTGTCAAAACTAAGGTTGGCATCAAAGCAAACACCCAAGTCCCTTACATGGTCAACACATTTGACAAAACAACCACCTACATTCACACCGGGTATATCAACCTTTGCTAACTGTTGTGTAGTACCATATAAAATGATCTCTGTTTTTGCATTGTTCATTTTCAATTTATACTTTGCCATCCAAGAAGAAATATCATCCAAACAAGCAGATAATTGTTCAAGAACATAAGTTTCATTTTCTATGTTTCCAGCTTGAATTTGTAGAGCGACTTTATGATCATCAGCATAACCATGTAACTGAGCCGGGTATTTCTTGACAACTCTATTTAATGCTGCGATATACAAGGTAAAGATTACTGGGCCAGCACAGGAGCCTTGAGGCACACCAAACATCAGGTTTTCTTGTCTTGATGATTCATTGTTTATGATAACTTTCATGGTTCTATCAGTCAAGTATGATTTGATCCACTGTAAAGGAACGTCATCTATGCCAAAGTCATCATGAAGTATATATGAAGCGCAATGGGGATGTCAATGGTGTCGAACGCAGCACTGAGGTCAATCATAACGACTATTGTAATTTGTCCATCATCAACAGCTTTCAGCAAATCATCATACATTTTTATCAAAGCAGTTTCTACTCCATGGTTTTTACGATATGCACTTTGATACGATGGCAAAAGTTTATTTGTCTCAATATGTTGAGTGATTTGATTCAGGGCAGCTTTTTCCAGTATTTTGGACAAAAATGATAAATTTGACACTGGTCTATAGTTTTTCAGCTCCAGAGCGAGACCTTTTTTCTTCAACAGGGGTCTTATCACTGCACTTTTCCAAGTCTGAGGAAAGATGCCAGAAGTAAGTGACCTATTCACAATTTCTGTGACTACAGGCAGAAAGTATTCAATGTTCTCTTTTAACTTGGTAGTTGGCATGAAATCAAGTTCACAAGTTGTAGACTTTGATTCTAAAATCAACTTCTTCACATCTGTACAAGAAAGCATCTCAAACTGATCCAAGCGACTGACACAAAATAGATAAATACAGAATCCCTAAAGAAAGCCCAACACGGCAAAATTGAAAATGTTGCAGGCTCGGTTTGATTGAGCCTGTTCATGGACGGTACTGGAAAGTGCAAGTTACCGTCCACGCCCCTAACAAGACTGTTTTCCAACATTATTATTTTGATGTCCAGTATCAACATGTGTATTGTCAAGCTGATCTCTTAGATTTTTAATTTTGTCTGTGAAATATTGCAGAAAGTCATTAGCAAGATCTTGATCATTGGAATATGAAGGAAGAGGATTTTCTTTTTCTCTGCCAAGGAGTTTAGAGGTGACGTTATACAGTTTTTTCACATTTCCTTCTGCATCATTTATCTTTGACTGATAAAAGCCTGATTTTGCAGCTGAAACTTCTCTAGTATAATGATTCTTTACTTTCTTGTAAACATTTTCAGTCAAGGTGGATTTGTGTTTCAAATGTATCTTTTCTATACTTCTTTTGAAGTGTTTTAATTTCTTCAAGTAACTTGAATACCAGGGGATATCTGGTCTACAAACAATTTGCCTTTCCTTCATGGGAGCATGCTTGTCAACAATGCTAGTGGTTTTCTCAGTCAAATCTTTCACTAACGTATTTGTGTCATCAGACTGATCAATGACAGACTTAAGTTCTGAGAGGTCTTTTCTCATATCACTAGTGCATACATTTTTCCAGTTTCTTGAAATCACTGTTTTTCTGATCAGAGGTGGACGGCTTTGTTCTATATGACATGTTGTAAAAGAGTGATCAGAGATAAAATAGTCTGTAACTGGCTTTGAAACATTCAGCCTATCTGCTTTTCTGGTTATTATTGAGTCCAAAACATGACCACTTGTGTGTGTAGGTGTTTTGACATGCTGCTCTAGACCATATGATTGCAGACATTCAGCAAAACGCTTTGCGTAACAATCATCGTCATTGTCCAAATGCAAATTGAAATCTCCCAAGATAACCACTGGTTCAGGCTTAAGTAAGACTCTGTCGAGTAGTTCTGGAAATTCATTCAGAAATGTAGCTTGAGTTACAGGATGTGACTTTGAGTAGGGAGGTCTGTATATACCAACAATTTTCAATGTAAATATTTTGCACTTAATTTCCCATTCTGCACATTCAAATGATTGAAATTGATCATTGGAAAGTCTTGAACATTTGAGGTTATCTCTGTACAGTAAGGCCAACCCTCCTCCTTTTCTCTCTGACCTAGGAACATCATCCAGGTTGTACCCATCTTGCTTAAGTTCTCCTCTAGTCTTATCATCGCCCTCGGGCTGCAACCATGTCTCAGTGATGACACAAAAATCAATTTGTTCTTCATAGATATGCTGCAATAATTCAGCCGATTTATTCCGAAGTGACCTAGAATTAACTGTTGAAAGAGTCAAATTGTTTCTTCTCAGTTCATTCAAGTTTGAAATCTGGTCAATTTTAATCTTTGTTAAATTATCCAAATGAACACCTTGATTGGTATCTTTGATCCTTGCTCTAGGCCGTCCAGCTCGTTTACCTCTGTATACCAAGATATTATTGCTTTTCAATTTTGATAATACTTCATTATCAATGTACTATTAACTCTAATGCTCGCGGACATTTTAACAATAAATTGTAATCATGCCTTGTGATACAGGGATGGCAGAAATCAATGTTATGCTTGTGAAATAGCCTACAGGGGTTATAGTGATTTTCCTGGCAATGCTTACACATTACATCCAAGTCAGTAAAATTTTAAAAAAAACCAGTTGTTTGCACTGTTACTATATTATTACTGTATTATATTTTGTAAGAATAACTTTGTGTGCAAAGGATATTTTTAATCATCATGCTGTAAATATCTTTGTAAATATCTTTGTACATTACTGTAAGATAGGGATAAACTATGAAAAATACTTATCCGTTAGGATTACATGTATATGGAATTATTCGTTTGTAATGTACGCTTTTGTTTTAGTAATAACGTAACCCACATGGAAATTAGAAATGTATAACGTTATGGTTTTTCTTGGTTTGTCAAATTGAAAGAACGATTTTGACAATTCCGACGGTTGTTGACATCATTTATAGTAAAACACGCTTCCGACCTGTCCGCCCGAAATATCTTAAATGGAATTATTAAGATTTCAATACTGACGAAACCATACACCATTTTTTGGGAAATTTGAAAATAAGCACTTCTTGTATAGCAAACAATGCAGATCATGAGCAGACGACACGGATTTGTCAGCTCACCTTTGTTCTATACTGGTCCCATGGGCAAAATCAGTTTCCATCAGCATTTCAAAGGGTTAAACAACAAAAACACATTCGACACTTAATCTACAAAAAAACTAAAACATTTTGCCTTGCAGCACAGACAGTCATAAATATTAAATGTATGATTTATTTAAAAAGATATATATATTGAATGGTAGAAATCAATTGCTAGAGACAATGTGGAGATTATTGCACTACGATATTTTGCTAGGAAAAAGTCAAGAAATTATTTATTGGCAAAAACCGAATACATGTTCATCGCCATATTTACAAAACATATTTACATACCACACAAATTTATGGTATACATTTTACAAAAAAAACTACTACAAATAATATCAAAATGACAATATAATAGAAACGAATATCTAGAAAAAGTTCATTTCACAGATGTTGTGTTTAATATTTTGCGTTTTCAAATACAGAAATAAGTAGAGAAAAAAACAGGCTTACCAGGTGGTCGTTTGTGAAATTTCATCCTGTGCTACCAAGCCATTGCCGATTTGTCAATAAACTGAAACTGATGTAAAACAGTGACTTTAAAAGTGTGTGAAATTATTTTATTATTATCTATATTTACTATATTTATTTTTAAAAAAATTAACACGCAGGAGTGTGGTGACTTGTAATGTACTGGAAGAGCAAGAAATAAATTTGATGTATTTCAAATTTTAAACGCAAACAATTACAACAAGAAAATACGTATAACATCTGTAAAGATATTCTTCGTTCTCATGATCCCATTATATGATTTTAAGTTAATAAAGCTATATACATGTAATGGATGCAAAAAAATCTTATTTGAATTTCCAGAAAAAAATACTTCTTAGAAAAAGATAAAGTAGTATATTGCTTTTATAGCGAATGGCGCAAGCACGGAAACATTGCTTAACGAATGAAACGTGAGATGTTTCATCCAAAAACGACAACATTAAAAAAAAACACAAAAAAATCATAATGAACTTTTTTTTTTAACTTTGATCATATAATACTCTTTCCTTGTATTACAAATTAAAATGATAACGCAAAAAATACGGAAAATCCAAGGCTATTTGATAAATGAGGCTAATGGGAAATGGGATTGTGATAATGAGCACGAATCTGGTCTTTGTTATTAATACTCAGCATGATACGCTCTTTGTGGAAACGGAAACAAAAATAAATTGCTTTATATCTGCAATTTAAGTCTGAATTATAAAAGTGAAGATGTTTTATCTATAAAAGTGAAAATTCCAAATTGTTGTAGTCAGTGTAAGTTTTTCTAGTCTTGAAATACAAATATGTTTGATATTTGTACTTGATATTCCATAACGCTTATCCTAATAACGGTTTGTTTCATTTTCATAGTTTTTACTTATTAACACTTTTATTTCCGACATCAGTTTTAGAAAGAATGATGAAGTATGCGTTTTTGTATCTTACTTAAATATCACGATGTTGTATATAACTTAATATTAATAATTTCTTCTTAACCTTAAAACTGCTGAAATGTGTGGTTCTGCTACAGCTGGTTCTAGGGAGCGTCGACAGTATCTTGAACCTACTATCATCGATCAGGCTAAACCATATCATTGTTGTCAGCAGGATAATGTCATACAGCGTAATCACTGCTTAATATTATGTCCCCTTATTTTGTTTGAACTCTAAAATGATTTTTTATTCAAACATCGAAGCACGTTTGATAATTTAGTTGATGTACCGAACTATTTACTATAATATGATTAATCAATTAACAAAAAATATAAGAGATATTCTTATGTATCTCGAGGTGCTACTGTACAGTTACTACAATTTTTTTTTTTTAAAAACTGATGAACTTATACTTGATTGTTCTTGAATAGAACATAGATAAATCATTCTACACAAAAAATAACATTCCACCTCATTATTTCAATCGACATTTATGTTGAATGAACTGTATTCCCACCTTGTCATCTATTTTAATGCTAGTGAAATATTTTAATGTGTTATGAATATTACTGTGATTATCATAATATTGAATAGACTTAATATACATGTATTTAGGTTTAAGATCGGATAAAAAAGAATGAGTTTGAATGAAATAAAAGAAATACATCTGAGCATTAAAAGTTCTGTTATATTTCCCTTGGAATCATTGTATAAAAATACCCAACAAAATATACATACATTCAGGAGTTACTCTTATCTCTTATTGTCTAGACGAAAAATGTAAGAGAAAGTAAAACTGTTGCACTACAATAAACTACGATATCTAAATTGACAAGTTGTATTTCCCCAGGGATTGTTTCTTAGGTTGGTGTAACGTTTTAATGACTATGTACATAGTTCGAGGGCTGCAACTTGATTTATTTATCAACTGAAGCAAGTCTTATGAAATAAATCAATGGTAAGTCTTAGCGAATACAAAAGAGTAGGGACGTGTTAAGGAGCGTTCCATTGTGCATGTAGCCGATGTTTATACATTTTTAAAAGTCTTTCACCGTATTTAATCAAACGTAGCAACATTGTCACTTTTGAGCATAATCCCTAATGATATATTCTGCAAAAAGATGTATGAAAAAAAGGAAAATGGGAAATCATTCAAAAGCAAATGAAAACAATAAAATATAATATGAACAATGCAGACTCAGTTTTTATCTCAGTTTTTATGATAGATAATGTTCAGGTTAACAACCTCTCACGACCCCTAGCAAGTACAAACATGAAGTCAAAACAAGAATCAATACTTTAAAAACAAGCGGGTAATTATTCGAAATAAAACATATTTGATTGTTAGATTATGACTTACTTTCTTTAACACTATGGGGTGAATTAAACCATAAGACATAAATTATATTAACCAAATCATTATACATTTCATGCAATTGAAAATTATTTTATGTCCTTGATGCGTGTGTACAAAAGTTAACAATAGGTTTATTCATAAAAGTGATTTGTGACAAATCTAACGCTGTCTAAGAAACAATCATGACATTCTAGTTTGACATCCTATTATTACAGACATGATTTTTCTGCAGATCAATATGGTTTCACCACTGACCAGACAAATCACCAGTTTATTATATAAGAAAACATTACAATATGCTCGAAATGATTGGTTCATATGCCGACCATAGATTATATTGAACAATAGATAATGAGGCAGAACACACGGAAATCATTATTTTTTTGTTTTTTATTTCTTCTTTTCGTGTATAAAAGAGGCGCATACCTATTACCTGATAATAACATTAATTTAAAGTTAAGAAATACATAATGACTTATATTGAACAAAACTTTAATCTGTGCATATTAACTTATTGTTGTATTATCAAATGGTTTCATAATATTATTCCAAAACTGCAAGTAATATTAAATGACGCTTCTTTAATATTTTTTAGAATGTCAAAATCATTAAAATATTATCATTTGTATTATACATTCTTTCTTCTTTTTTATTCAAAACGAAAATAATTGGAATACTGTTGTTTAATCTTAAACTTACATAATTTGGCTTGTTTTATATCAATATTAACTTTTACACTAAAGAATCTTATAATACTTATTGCATGTACTATCGTGATAGACACATTTGACTTTCCTACTTCAAAGCTATGATTCATGAATACGTATAAACCACCGGTGAAAGATAAAGAATACACTTTCATAACTTAGCTCATTGCATAAACGAAACCGCTTTCATATCATAGCCGAAAGAAGATTAGAAAAAAGAGAAAAGAAGACAAACATGAACTCAATTTGTCTTCGGCGCTAAATTACAGGAAACCCATAATCAGCGTCTAAACAATCGGGAAAGTAGCGACTGTCTCCTATGCCACTGTGATTACTTTGATTGTTCCAAGATAAATGTAGGTGGAACTTTTGTTTGAGAATTGTCTTTGCTCAGTTTTAATCAGTTGTATTTTGTAAACTTAACATAATAATTTGGAACACTATTATCATAATATTATTTGATTTAAGAAAAAAAAAGAAGAAAAAAAACAACACTTTTTTTCAAATTCAATATAAATTATAACAAATCATCGGATAGTTGCACAAAGATATTTTTTGTAACTAGTATTTGTTGTTTACTTTTGTCCAACCCCTAATCGTTACTTGTAGAATTAAATACAAAAAGCATTCTAAGTATATATTTCATACCAATTTACATATTCCAAATGCGCGGATAAACATCAAATAATTAATGTACGATGAACAGTTAAACAGCCAAATCTGGAACTCTATAAAATTGTTTTTATATTAAAAAAATAATAACATCTAGTTATATGAACAGCCAATATCGAACTCCTAAAAGCTGTGTATCATATTAAAAGACTTAATGTATCATCTATCCATATGAACAGCGAAATATAGAACTGTAGAAACGTGTATATCATAGGAAAAGACTTTTTGTTATCATTTATACTTATAAATAAGTTCAATTGATTTATTATGGCCTGCACAACTGGGCATTCCCGTTGAAGCTATTGTCTGAAATATTATATTTCCTGTGGGAAATTACGGCAGCAGGTTGTATATCGTATCGAATAGGTTGGTTATTGCATAGATATTTTTTTGTATACAGTATTTGTTCTTAGTATTCAATAAACTTGCTCGAAATGAAGTGACCGCATAATTTTTGCAATATGTACCTATAGTATGTTTATCATTTGAATAGATAAACAAAAGTCTAAATGTTTAAATAGCTTTATTTTATCAAATTTATATTTGTCGAAAGATATGGCTTTTAATGACTCTGTATGTGTTAAAAGAATTTGAAGGAACAAAATTACAAAATAAAAAACAACAAAGCAAGTTAAAGTTTGGAAGTATATGTTACCTACTGTTTGTTTATCTATATTATTTGTTGTTAGGAAAAATAATTTATCTAATATATGACTGAAAATTTATTTATCTAGCTTTGATATGAACTGTAAAGTCTATGTGTATATATACTAGTAAGAATCAATGTGTTATCATTTTAATGTTAAATGGTTGAAATCTGCTTAACCCGGTGCTGGGGTGTGTGGGTCAAGCCTCCAACTGTTTCAATTTTACTGTG